CGCGAATCACTGTGTTGGAATAGAGTATGGACCCAGGTTGTGCGGGTCAAGAGGGAGAGCGGCACGGGTGAAGACGAGCTGACAGGCAAAAGGATAGAAGCGAGAGGACCCATGAGCCCCTCGGCAGGCGGTCCTGAACTGGTGCGTGAGGAAGACCGCAGAGTAGGGGACGTGCACGAGCTGTGAGGCTTTTAAAAGAGTGCAACAATAAATGCTCCGAGAGCGTACGGTGGAGTCCCTCCTCAGAAACCCACTGCTAGGAAGACCGACCGGCCTGCAGCCAGGAGACCTCGTTCGCCGACCCAGGCATCGCCCCGGACCGGAGACGCGAAGGTGGTTCGTGCCCAAATGGTTTCTCCCCGTACGGCACCCAGGTCGAGGTGAAAGATGCAACCAGTCTGGCTCAACGTTCCGTTTTCTTTACACCAGGAGGTTTAAGCGAAGCGAGGGCCCTCAATTCACTCCCCCGATGTAAACCAACCAACTACCTGACAGTGACGCCAGATTCAGGGACAACGGCAGTAGCGGTACTTCCCAACCAGTCATGGACAACCCCATATACAACCAGACGGAGCCAGACGGGACACACTTGACGTGGCCAGAGCATCCTGTCCATTTCAGCCCAGAACTTCAGGGCCACGTTCGAACTAGTGGATGCACCTGTCGGGTCGCTGGCTTCTACCTACCGCTCCCGTTTCTACCTACCGCTCCCGTGATCCGCGCCCCTCGTCTGCGCCCCTCGTCTGCCTGCCACGGCATCGCAGCTCACTGAAGTGTTACGCGCAGCTCCATACAGCCTAGGGGCGGCGCCCAGATCAGTCCCGAATCCCAACGTACTCGATATTCCCAACCACGACAAGTACCGCGAGAGTGTCCACTCCACAGCTGGGGCTGGGGCTTACTTCCTTCACGTACTCAAAGCTCGCAAGGCTCTCTCGCCAACGTCTACGGCCCTGCGCCTGCCGCTTCAACACCCAGTCAATTACACCCTCTGCAATCAGCCACCGACTTACTCTGTCGGTACCGTCTCTTGGCCCACTACCCTCGTGGCTCCCTCACCCACCGACATCGCGGTTCAACAACGTGAACATCCGCTCCCCGCGCACTAGGCACATTGACAATATAGTCATTCTCCCACTCGAGAGCCCTTGATCCGTCCGTAGCACCTTACTCTCGGCCCGACACCACACTCTCACGATAGACCCGGGCACACCTCGACGGGAGCAAGACCGGAGCGCCACACCGCCCAAAGGACTCGCCTCGGGGCAACCAGTCCGGAACTCCGCTCACTAGTCCGCTCGCTCCGCCCGTATCCCCTCAGGCCTCTTCGGACGAGATCTGGCCCGATCTCCGCCTCCGAGGTCCTTCCCAACCTTGCTGTACAACCGAGGACACACTAGGCGCTTCGGTCAGAACGCTGGGGGGGACCACGCGCCACCTAGTGCCTGTGGCTTCGCCCAAGCCCCCAGCTGACCTTCGCCTCCCGACCCGTTCCTCTAAGCATCCGACGAGTCTCGATCCCCGCGCGTGAGCTTGGCATCCGTAGTCGTTGTCTGGACCCGCCGGACAGCCCTCCAGGTCCAGTAGCTGTCGCCAACTGAACTTGTTGTGACCCGAGGGCTGAACGGGGTGCCAAGATGTAGTGAGTTCACACCATACAAAAATAATGTACAGCTCTACCGATGGCGACCGACGGGCACACCCTGACGGTTCACTCACTCTCTCAAATTGGGGGCTGTAATAAAGAACAGGTCCCGGAGAGAGCTGGAGTTGCTTTCTGTGTTCCGTTTTGCACCTCTGGTCCGAACTAGGACGCGGCAGGCAGGGAACTAAAAATGGCACTGGAGACTGGAACTCAAATCTTGCACGGGCAGGGAGAGTCGGGGCACGCTCGGGAGTTTTTGGCAGGAGCGGGACTCGAACCACCGTATCCTAGGTCGTCGCAGATACCGAAACGTTAGTGAGTGTTGTGTCGAACTGGTCGTCTCGCATGTTACGGTCCTTTACAAATAAAAACCCTTGCCCGGCGAGCGAGACTTACAAAAACCCTGACGACTCAATTAACATAACCAGGTGGCAACAGAACCTATGCCGGTCAGTAGAACTTCAAGATTCCTGGTCCCTCACTTTTTGTTGGTTACTGTCACTGACTTGGTTAAGTGTGTGGCGATAGTGTGCTACTTTGGTAATGTTAAGGCCGGTCTCAAACGGTGTTTGAATGTTAGCCCATTCCGTTAGTGGTATAGCCAGCCGGTGGTCTTCGAGTACGCCCCTTTTCGGTGACGACTTTAACCAAAGCGAGTACCCATATACCAGCTGACATCGTCACGGGTAAGGTCCTTGGCACTCTGCTGTTTGGTATGCTTGCTGGTTGAGGGACTGTTACTGTTTTGGGTGGCTCGGCGGGCGGCTTCTGCGACTCTGTTTGCGCGCACGGTCCGTTTCGTGTCCGGCGCTAAACTCCAGCATTCGTAACCGCAGTTTTTGACGTCGTAGACTTCTTTAGGGTAGTCGCTGAAGATGTTGGCCACCCTCGCCAGGGGAGCTTCCAAGTCGGTGAATGTGACCTCGTGCATTGCCTTTTTGCTCTTGGCCGTCACCTCGCAGGTGACGCTGGCTACGTCGCAAATGCACTGGCGGAGTGTGCCGATGTCTCGAGCGGAGGCGCTCCAGCCTTTGCAGTTAAAACTGCGTCCTGCATAGAGTTGTCGGAGCTGGTTCTGGGACGACATGGGCGTCCCAGCCGCTTGGACGGGAAAGCGTGCGAGGAGTCGGCTGTGGAGAGAGTTCTGCGTTTCTTGCGGTGTGTGGCACAGCACCTGGCACTTTTTGGGTGTCAACTGGTGAGTGATATTCCAGGCTAGATTGAAGGAGACGGGCCAGGGGCTGCCGAAGGAGATGGGCCAGCCGCCGCCGCCAGCGTTGCTGCATCCCGAGTCGCAGTGCAGGGTACCGCTGCCACAGGGCGCCTCCGGCACGGGGCCTCCGGCCTCGAAGATGATCGCTCCCTGGTTGTTCGTCAACTTGGCGTACGTGTTCGGCATCTCGAAGTCTTCTTTCGCCACCCACGGCTGCGCCGACCCGCCGGACCGCAACAGATAGTTCGCAAAGAAGCCGACGGCCGCCCCTACCCCCAGAACGCACGCGGTCTTGCACAGGCGGCTCTTCGTCTCGCGTGTGGGCTTCGCCGGTGTGACCTCCAGGCCCCCGCCGTCGTTCCAGTGCGCAGTCTTCCACCCTGCCGACTCTTGCAACACCGGCTGCCACTCCTTGGGTACCCGCGCCATGAGCTCCGCCAACTCCGAGGGGTCCACAGGGCGCATCACAGCCACGGTAACGCCGTCCACCTGCTCCTGCATCTCGCCACTCCCATTCAGGATAGCGTGCAAGTCGTGCAAGTGTTCCCCAAAGACTT